GAGAGAGAGAGAGAGAGAGAGAGAGAGAGAGAGAGAGAATTGGAGCTGCTAAATGTGTTTTTTTATTTTAATTTATGACCCTAGATTTTGTTACAGTAGAAAAGCCAGTTGCTGAGGCCTACCTCGTGAGAAGCAGTGCATGATGACATTTGCTGTCTAGATGACCAACTTTGCGCCCTATCAAGGAGAATTTTTCATCGATGCTCCTATCGTATGCATAGGATGTATATAAGTATGAAGTGGGCCCATGCTTCTTGTCAGGTAACGAACGACCTGCTGTTTTGCGGTTGTAAGTCTTCTCTGTTTTCTCCCTTTTCCACATTGGGAGCAGACATTTATGGACTCGAAGCCGGCCCGATTGTAGTCCATTTATGAACTCGAGCTTCGCCATAGGGTGCATGGTTCCTGGCACGTTGCCAGCTTGGTCTTTCTTGCCATATCTCGTGTGTTCAAATTCCGGACCTCCGTTCGTTTCCCCCCCCTAGCCGTCGCCGCCGCTGCCTCCTCCTCTTTCTCCTCCTCCTCCTTCTGCTACTCTGCTCGCCCCCCCCCTGGGTCTCTCCTTTTCCTCTTTGAACGCTGTCGTGTTAATTGTGATTGGAACCTATTTCGAAATATGAAATAAAGGTGCTGCCTAGAGTTGGGACTATTTCTCTTGTTCCAGGTGTCTCCGTACCGCATCCCCGTTATCGGTTCCTCTGCCGTCTGTTGTAACGATGGATAAAGAGAGAGCTGAGTGTGTTTAGACCTGGATCTTGTCTGTCCAGTGTTTGCCGGACCTTTCTCGAATTGAAATGTCTGTGTTGCCATATCATGGCTCAGCATACGTGGTGTGACTTTTGCGCACCATAACGCGCTCCTGCGCTCACAGCTGGAGGTGTGATGCATGCATGGGCTTCTTCTTCCATAAATGGCACCGACTTGAGGGCATACGACGAGGCCACGAGTTGGTCATCACTCAGGAATGCGACGCGGGTGCAACGAGCTGCCGGGCATTTTGGCGGCATGGCCGGGCAGTGACCCAAGCGCAGCTCTGCGGTCATTGCAAGTGTCGGCATTGGTTCTGTTGGGGCATTTCTGCCGTTGAATGGGTTGCGAAGTGGCGTGGGCCGTTTTTGGGCATGCGACGAGGCCACGACTTGGTCGCTGACTCAGGAATGCGACGCGGGTGCGCAACGACCTGCCGGAGATTTGGGCGCGGCCGGGCAGCGACCCAAGTGCAGCTCTGCGGTCACATTGCAAGCGTCGGCATTGGTTCTGTCGGGGCACTTCTGCTGTTGACTGGGTTGTGAAGTAGCGTGGGCCCTTTTTTGGCAAGAGGAGAGGGCGCATGTTTTATGCTCGCGTTCGTACCGTGACCAAAGGAGGGGTTCTTCCCTGACTGAGGCAGAGATCCTTGCACAAGCTGCCCCGCGGACCGCGTCCTGGAATGAAATAAGGCTCAATTTCCCGTCGACCGATGTGTTCCGATGTGTTCATCCTGTTCACCTGGATGGTAATCTTGCCACAATTTCGTCTAAGTATTATTCTTCTTCCAAGTCAAAGTGAGGGAGGGGGGCGGCGGAGCTGTGAAGTTCTTGTTCGAGAATCGGGGTTCTTTTGAGACAGCCTGCCCGCTTTCAATGTGCATGTTTCAGACTTTAATAATGATCACATCTATCCATCCCCTCTCTTTGTGCAGATCTCCCCCTCCCCTCCCCCCTCAAGTTTCTTCTTGTTTTAGGCTTTTATTCTACCTACCGCTAGATGATTTGTCGCCATAAGTGGGAAAGTTGGTGCCATCCCGGATAGGATCTCCCCCCCTCCCCCTCCCCCTCCCCCTCCCCCTCCCCCTCCCATCTCTTAATCTGCTGTCATGGTATGTATCGTCTCCCAGCCTGTGCTCTATTAAAGGTTCTCTGATGCAAAAGAGTGTGCGAGTAAAGAGTAGATAGGTACCTAAGACATCGGATGTCGATTGTGAGGTTGTGCCGGTTGGTGAGCAAATAACGCTTCATCAGTTTCATACGTGTCCTTGTTTGAGTTTACGTGTTTCCATAAGCTACCCATTTCAGTTTTCTCCGCTGATCAGACTCTTATCGTGTTTGTTTCCTTCTTCGACGAAGGGAGCAAGCATTCATTCTCGCTTATTATGTGGTTGGTTGTTTGCGGGCCATATCCTGCGTTCAAAGAGAGCAGCATAATTTCCGCGTTATTATTATGTAGCCCGTGTGCTACATACGTACTGTATTTTTATTGACGAACCTGCAGGTGGGAACAGGCTATATAATGGTTTTGGAGGCTGGGGCCGCCGCATTCTATGCTTTTTTGCATTTTTTTTATTGATCCTTGCTTTGTAATAATTCCAGGCATCAACTTTGTGATGCGATCAGGCCAGCGTGTTTGGTGGGGGGGGATTTTTTGTTAAAAAAAAAAAAAAAGTGGTTGGTGGGGCTACCGACCTCCCTTGAACACAATGCACCCTTACGTCTCCTTACGGGACTGGAAAGATAGCTTCCATACAGTTGTTATCGGGGTGTGTTATGTTTGGGGGTGGACGGTAGTATATATGGTTTTTTGGGGATGTCCGCTGTACCACTGTTCTGCGCTTGGCGAGAGAAGCCCAAATCCGGTGTTTTGTGTCCACTACGACGATGACGGGCAGACGGGCAAACGCGCGGGGATGCTCTGCTTCCAAATTGCGCGGGGTAACGGACTTTGCCTGTGCGATTTCATGCATGCGTTCGGGTTGGAACGCCACGGGAAATCTTGCGGGCGAAGTTCATCACCCCGCGCGATTTCCCAGCCGTCGATCTTGATGATCGACGGCCCGAGCGGGCTTTCGAATGGGGGGGTGGGGGTTGCGGCCTCTAGAGCCGCCAGAATTTTATTTTTTTTGTGAGCCTGGGCGGTCCGCTGGCCCGCAGGTGGCCCCCAGGCCCAAAACGGGGTCTGTTTCGTCTTTTTTTTTGGTCGCGCAAATCGGGCCCGGGACCCCGACCAGTCCTCACGACCGGCCGGGCGTGCGGTCGCCGACCCGGGCATATGACCTGGGGACCGGTCGCCCGGAAAATCTCCCTAGGATTATACTAATTTTCTTTGGTGTGTGGTTTGTGTACCATCTGATCATTTGATGTGAAAAAGCAATGAACGTGAAGCGAAGGGGACTGAAGCGGGGAGCCGAAGTAAGGCCAAGGACCGAAATGGGAGGAGGAGGAAATAGGGTGGTGGTCCCCACCAACAGAAAGGAACCGTATGTCAGTGCAATGCCTCGATCCGGAGTACACGGTCTCTTACCTTCTCAGGACTGAAGGGTGGCACCCCACGTTCTTAGGAGTAGTGGTAGGTAGGTAGCGAAGGTGAAAACTGAAAGAATTTAAATGATGAAAGAATTGAGAGAAGAATAAAAAAATGAATAAAACATATTTACCAAATTTTAAAGTAAAAACAAAATTATACAGAGAGAGAGAGAGAGAGAGAGAGAGAGAGAGAGAGAGAGATGGTGCAGAACTGCATGCGAAGTGCAGTACTCTGTTAATTGTTAAACAATTTGCGAAATTCGATTTGCGAAGCAGCTGTCGTCTTTTGGATGGTTGTGAAAATTGAAGTCTATTGTGAAACCGTTTTTTTCTCGACAGGAATAACAATGAAACTTGACGCCATGACTCTACGCCATGGCCCATCACCTCTGCTTTGATCTTCCTTCAGTGAGTGATCCTCCTTCAGTGAGTGTGTACCATATGCTTCTCCCTGTTAACTTCAGCGACGTCCCCTCAATCCTGTGCATGCTCAATGTGGACGCTGGCCGGATTTGGACATAGTGAGATTTTGAAGTCTGTTTCATCCTCTGCAGAAAATTGAGCATGCACAGGATTGCGGGGCCTATTTAGCTTTCAGCGATGACCCCTATTGCTACCTTTTTTGTCAAACGGAAGAAGAAAGATAACCTTGGAAACACTCTGTCGCCCGGAGACACCTTCTCTAGTGAGCCGACGCTGGTTCCTCAACAAATAAACAAACAAAAAAAAAGACCAGGAAGTATTGTGGAACAAACTCGTCTAAAACAAACTGCCGACCGATTTGCACCCAAGAATGGATGGCCCAAAGGGGGGAAAACAAGAAAGAAAGGGACCACGTAAACCCGTTCGCTTATACACATCTAGATGTGTATAAGAGACAGATGCTTTCCAAAAAAAAAAAGAAAACACGGGGCTCGGGGCAGGGTTGGAGGCCGACGAAAAAAGAGAACAAAAAAGAAAAAAAAAGAAAAAAGAAGAAAGAAAAAAAAGCGCTGCTGTAGGAGCTTCCTAGATCATCTTCCCTGTGTGTACCTTGTTGCCGTCCGCGGCCATCCCTCTACATCTCTTTTGATTTTTTTTTCTTGCCTTTTTTTTTCGTTTCGCCCTTTCTGTTATTTTTTAGCCTTTTTTTTTTTTTTTTTTTTTGCCATTTTTCTCCCTTCTATCCATCCAGATCCTAAGAATGATCTATCTTTACCTTAAGTTGTGCAGTGGAGACATAGACACCCATTTGTTCCCTCCCCTTTGATCCAGCAGAATGGCAATGGGGAGGGAAAACACCCCTACCTATCTGGAAATATACAGTTAAAAACTGCTACCGCAAAACTCACCCCACCAAGAACGCAAAATCGACTATCAAACAGAGATGGAACAAACACACCCCAATGACAGCACCGGCCCTAATAAACTTCAAGTGGAGCCAATTTGCCAAATGGATGCCCACCTCCCACCGGGCACTCCAATGGTAGATACTCTGTAGATGCTTACCTACACCGGATTGAGTGATCAGCCGATCACAACTAGAATAGAAGAGGCTGCTATCCCCACTGTGCTCCTACTGTGCTACCTCGGCGAACCACCGGATCGCTGACCTCGAACATTGCCTACTGGAATGCGCCATGGCATTACAAATATGGAGATAGTGGGATGCGGCATGACGATTCCTCACAGGCAAAGACCTCCCATGGGACCCAAACCTGCGGCTGCTACTAGGGCAACATTCTCCCCTTCAGTCTACTTGGAGCAATTTCAAGGATACCCTCTTTCGCTACACCCGACTGGAACTGCTCATGACAATCTGGATGACCAGGTGGTGGCACGAGAGGCACGGACACACTTTTCGCTACCAGCAAGCAAAACAGCACATCACAGAGATAATTAGATCTAACATACATCAGGCCCAGTGGCACCTTAAGGACAAACTAAGAACAGAGTCGAATGTTTCCAAACAACAAAAAACTAGACAACAGTTCGAGCTTGGATCCAGGAAAAAACTAGGGAGCTTGGAGAACAACAAGTTGAATTGGGGTCAGTGGGCTCAGTAGGAACCTAGTACCTGGCAGTGGTGCCCGGCCCATGCTGTCTTCACTCCCCGACTGGGCATCACATTGGAAGTTGCTCCATCCAGTCACCCTCCGCCTTTGGCCACCCCTCGGCCCCCTCCTCCCAATGCTTCCAATGGAAACCACTCACTGACAACCCCACCTTCTACACCCCGTCCGCCGGACTCCCCCGTTCCTCGAC